CAAACGAGGGGCTGTGACAAACTGTTTCGTCGGAGTTTCACCGACTCATATATATTTGGCCCGGCCGGGCAAGTGACCCTGGCCACTCTGGTAGCCTAGTTCATTACATATTTTTGTTTCAGATTTTTTCAAATTGTTTTCTTCTCGGAGGACCTCGAAATTAGGCCGGCGGGAGTGAAGGATTTCAAGCTGCAGACCCTGAGAGCCCAGCACCAAATCGCCAAAGTTCTGGAAGTTTCAAGGTCCCAAGTCGGAGGATCAAGTAAACTAGGCTCGATTGGCCAGTGGGGGCGTCGTAGGTCTGTGTGAACACAGCCTCCGGAAAGGTCGAGAGTTGTACAGTCAGTCCGGTACCCCACAGAAAAGACCAGAAAGTGCATTCCAGTCCCCAAGTCCACAAAAATTGCAGCAAGTGCCAGGAAAGCCTGGGAAGCTTCCAGACCGACAAAATGAATGCAGCAGACAGGCCGTGGCCGACCGGTACCGGTCTGAGGCAGCCCAAGCATCGACAAGTCCTATATTAGCTGCTACATTGCAGCAGCTCACTGGTGGTTCATTCTAAGTTGCGGAAGCACTACTGCTGCTTGTGTGACCAAGCAACTTGGGCAAGATCGCGCTCGAAGAAGAAGAGAGCGCCGACATCAACCATAACTAGGGTAGTCATAGGGAAGCAGGGCGGCCATAGCCCCCACAGTCCGAGTCCAAGCTGAGCGGGTGTATTCAGGGCACAATCCAAGGCAAGACAGGGACTGTGAGGTTCAGCGATACAAGACCAGAGAGAGAGGGAGAGAGAGGGAGAGAGAGGGAGAAGACAGAGAGAGCTGCAGTTGGGTACATCCCTGGTTCGAGTTTGAGTCTGTGTGAGCGGCAGAGGCCGCAAGGGATATGAACACTGTCCTTTTAAAATAAAGACATTTTGCGTACCAATCCCTTGTGTGATTCTTGTGTCTCGGATATGGGTTCCAAGTGTGAACGCTCATCTCAATGCTTGTTGCACGTGTGTGCGAGGTTGAGGGTGATCGACTTGCGAATCATTGTATGCCCCGATTAATGCCTTAAGGACCCCTATTTACCCCTTGCTTCTCTCTACAAAAGTGGAGAGCAAATCACACAATTATTTTCTCCGATGCTGACCCCGCAGATGAACTATTTTTGAGAATATAAAGTGATGCAGCTTCACTGCTGGATGACTCCAAGAATTGGCATGGTGTTTCAGTGGGCATCACCCTCATGATTGGAGATAGGAGACTCCGGTTTGCACTACGAGTGGGTGGACAAGCAGCAACTACCTGAGGGTGCATGACAAAGATTCTACACGACAAGCAGCAAAGGATTGAACATTCGATGTTTTTCAGACCACACCACAGTCACTACCGTCTTCACCCGAATCGAACGCCCAGTCATTATCGCTGTATTTAGACTGGAAGTTGGCCCAAATACAGCTATAATGACCGGGCATTCTATTAGGGTAAAAACGGTAGTTCCAGCACACTGGAGTAAGATCCAGAGCTGGTTGATTTTGGTCATCATAGAAGCTACTGCAGACGACAACCGAAATTGGGTCATCAAGGCAGAAATTGTGAGCTGCTGAATAGGGTTTAAACTTCAAAATTCAAAAGTTTCATCCAGTGCACTTCAAAATCAAGGGATTCTCAGTAACTGTCGTGGCCAGGCTGGTCACCAGACCTGACTCAGATCTGAGCCGGGTCCTGAGAATCAAGCGCTTGTACGGCTCATGGCTGGATTTAGTATCGGCCCTAGGATCGCCCACTCCAGCCAGAGGTACGGAGGCGGCACTACCGGGCCAGGGAGAATTCTACTGATGGGCGTGAAAAATTACACTGGCAGTGGTACTCCCGGAGCTACCGTATCTGTGCCTGCACCAGGTGTGTGCAGCCAGCGACCGGGGCGTGAAATCACTAAACTACCAAGCCTGAAATTACCAGACATTGCCGCCAGTGGGCAATAACAGCTCTGAAGACAGTGACACGGGAGGTTCCAGTAGTGACACCAGACCTGTGCCCAGCGCCAACCGTACCATCGGACAAGCCTGAGATCATCCATACGGGCCTGGGCACTGCAGCAGCATCCAGTAGTGACACCAGACCTGGGCCCAGTGCCAACCATACCATCGGACACGCCTGAGATCATCCATACGCACCTGGGCACTGCATCAGCAGCGATGGTACGACGGCTAGATGTACTGGTACGCGGCCTGTTTAGTTTGCCCGGGCCTACTGCTGGAACCAGTGCCTTTTCAGGATAGGACCAGTCCGTGTGCACGCATGCACCTGCACCAGTCTGGTTGGCAGCCTGGGGAATGGCCAGCTGGCACCTATATCCACGAAGGGTATGAATTGAATGGGGCATTTTCAGTCATTCAGGCATCAAGGCATTGAAGGGGTCCCCGGCAAACACGCCGTACACCGCCCCCGCGCAGAGGCAGGCGTGGTGGCCATGGGTGCAAGGGGCGAGAAGGGAAGAAAGATGAGCTGCGGGTGATGGAAAGGAGAAGGCAGTAGCGATAGAGGCTAGAGGGGAGGGGCAGTAAATGGTCAGGGGCTGCGCACTATCCTCTAATGAAGGGTTTCAATGCGCTTGATCAGGCGCTGCGTTCATTGCGAGTGGGAGTCCGGTGAGCGAGAGCTTTCACTGATGTCACAAAAGCAAACAACATTCATATTTTTGCTGGTCAGTGGTCAGACTCAAATGGACAGAGCAATGGACGACGCATCAGAACACCGGTGCTCCGGTACAATACACAACTATGCGCAGGGTATTTACAGAAGCCCGCTGTTGAAAATGGGAGGAACAGATGGCAACTCAATCATTGGCCAGTTGATGTAGAAGGTACTTCTATACACTGTACCGTCACACCTCGACATACCCTTGAGAGAGAGAGAAAAAAGTATAGAGAAAGAGAAACGGGAAAGGGAAATCAAGGAAAGGGGAAGAATGTGATATCGGAAAGAGAGAGAGAGAGATCAGGGGGAGAGAGAGAGATCAGGGGGAGAGAGAGAGAGCAAGAGAGAGAGAGAGAGAGAGAGAGAGAGAGAGAGAGAGAGAGAGAGAGAGAGAGAGAGAGAGAGAGAGATCAGGGGGAGAGGTCAGCAAAACTCGTCAGTGTCTGGGAGCCAATCACAGAAGAGAGAAGGCACTGTGCATGCAGCAGCCATGTGTCATACATAGCCAACTGCATTGTATCGACCACGGACAGGTGCTGGTTGCTGCAGCCAATCATTTGGGTACAGGCATTCAAGCTCCATGCTGTTGCAAATCGCGCCCTCTGATTGGCATTAGGAGAAAGACAGACAGTGAGGGTGAGAACAACGAAGGAGGAAAGAGAGTGAGCGTGAGATTGCACGAAAAAAAGAAACGGTAAGGATATCGAGGGGTCAAGCACTGAATTAAACGTGAATTTGAATTAAATTGCTGCTAATTACGTCTTCCTTTACTCGTGCATCAAACGCGCTGAAACTCGATCCCCCTGTTCTGAACATCGTGAATTCAATTTCATCCCTCCCGAGAGACATGATCCTTGCTGCATGTTGCACATCTGATGGTACGTTAGATCCGACAGCCCGTGCACTTCTCCGCGCAGCAACGATCAGATCAGACGACCCATTGGATTTCACCCCCGTTTACGCACCAACAATCGTACTAGGGGGAGCTAATCAGAGATGCAGCTTCAAAGTGAGGGCTTAGAAAAAAGATCTGAATTCGCACGCTAGAGACTAGTAGAGAGGGACTTGAGAGCGCGTGAGTTGATCGTTGGGATCACCATTCGGCACAGATTTAGACATGATGCCATGCAGTCCGTTCGGAAGTTTTCTGCTCCCTTCCTTTCTAAATTGTTGAAGTTTCTCCTTCAAGTTCTTGGTGTTTTTTTTTCTTTTCTTTTTTCTTTCAGTCATCTTTTTGTGCCTTCCATTCCTCTTGATTATTATTATTATTATTTTTTAATTTTAGATTAATATTAGTGATTCAAATTAATGATTCAATAATCGTATCGGTTCTCACTTTCTGAGGCCATATGTGAGGGCATACTCATAATTACTCTGTCACTTTTTGATGGCCGTAATTGTGATCAGGTGCATCCATTGGAAGTAGCTGTAACTGCAGTCAGTTACATTCAGGTGACTACCGTCTTGAAGTTCCAGTTAATAGAAAATGCCCGGACATTATAGCTGTATCTGGACTGAAAAAATTGAAATGAATACGAATATAATGACTGGGCGTTCTATTCGAGCGAAGGCGGTAGGCACATCCATAGGACCTGGCAAGGAACGATACAGAGAAGATTAGCATGATCCCTGCGCCAGGATGGCACACATAGATCGAGAAACTGGTCCGTACTAAACAAAGAAAGAAGTAAAAAACAACGTATACAACCCATCTTTCCGGTTCGGCAAAGCCAAAATGCCGGTGGGTTGTGTTCAGGGGAAGACGGTAGTCAGCATTGAGTCCCAAGAAAGTCGGGGGACGTTCCTGAAGCGACAGCATCGGCCAGTACCAACAGAGGAAGTCCATAAGGCAAAGCCTTGCATAAAAAAGTCAAATGATGCAGCTTGTGAACACGGATTCACTCACGCATCAAGGCAGAAATGCTGCTGCTTAATCATGTTCGACCAGTTGGTCTGCTGCAAGGTGCATGAATCAATCGATGGTGCTCGACATCACTAGCTGTAGTCTAAGAGAGACGGCGAGGGGGGGGGGGGGGGGGGGGGGGGGGGGGCAGGGGGCAGAAGTATTCAGAAAGGATCTGGGGCTGAGAGTAGGATACGAGAGGTAGAGAGAGTACCTGTGTGTTGTTGCTGGCGGCACTAGCCACCCGACTTTGAGGACGGCAATTTCGTACAATAGAGTTAACCTTGCAGAGTTAACCTTGCAGAGTTAACCTTGCAGAGTTAACCTTGCAGAGTTAACCTTGCAGAGTTAACCTTGCAGAGTCTATTTTTGAACATCTATCTCACAAGTGCTTTGCGTGTGGCACTGCTCTGTCTTGTGTGAGAATCGTGTGAAGTGCGTTGTGCATGGTTGATCTCAACTCTCAGCAAGTTCCTTAAATTATTTCCGAAACACGTCTCACTGTCTCCACCGGAATGGTGAAGCTGGCCTGATGCGTGCTCTGTAATCAGATGCTACTGATGGCCAGATACAGACCACCAACCTGTTTGAGAGACGACACAACTCAATGGCTAAGCCTTCCCAGCTCCACCGCCTTCGCCACTTCCCCCAACCCCAACCCCAACACTGACCACCCGCCCAAAGAAAGAAAAGGAAAAAAAAAAGACATTATATATATCGTCAAACAGAGTTACCATCTAGTAAGTTATGATCCACCTTCACCTCGGCGGATGTGGTTAAGCATCAACGACTGTCCGACAACTGATACCCTGAGTATCTGAAAGTGAATGGCAGTGAAAAGCACACCATTCGATGCAACCGAGAACATCGATTTTTCTTTTCTAACGAGTTCATACACATTCAACTTGATACGCGTACCTGGTGTTGACGAAGACAGACTGTGTGACCAGGGTCTTCAAGCGGGATCAGACGATTGCCATGCAGACCATTGCTGACATGTAGATAGGCTAGATAAGTAGGAGCTAGGAAGTAGAATGAGCGTTCTGGGCGCTCATAGGGAAGATATACATTGCCGTTGCTATGGTGATTGAAGGTGGTAGAAGGGCTTTCTTTATCAAGAGACTTAAGTGTATTCCTCATCCCCCCTATTTGGTGTGCATTTTCGCCTTGAGATGTCGCAAGCTGGTTTATTGCTGTGCTCACAGCTTTCAACTTGGCTCAATTATGTCTAGTCTTCTGTGAGATGTTGCAATCTGGTTTATTGCTGCTCTCCTAAATGATCTCCTTGCAGTGGAACTATTTTGTGGAAAATAACAGCTAGTTAGACCTCTTCCCCTCATATGGCCATAAACTGAACAAGGCCATTCATAACTACGACGAGGACAGCTAGCGGACCTATCCCCTATGGAACACAGAGTTCGAACCCCTGAACACACTGCAGCATTCAGCGCAATCTCAGCCCAATTCGCACAATACACTCAACCTACAAACATTCCGCTCCTCGTAAATGGTTGAACACCTGTCGCCCAAGGGAACACAGATTCGGACGCTAAGGGCGTACTCACACTAGCACTCGCCTAAATGTATCTGACTGCAATTATGCCCACAGCTGGACGAACCACAGTGCAATCACTTCCAGAGCTAGACAGAAAAAGTCCTAGCGCGAGTCCGCCCTAAAGGCTAGAACAAACAACAACTTCCAGTCCTTCCCCGTGCAGACAAGATCCCACCATTTCCGCACAAGAATCAGCCCTTTTCTCCAACCCTGTTCCAGCCCTGTTCCAAACCTGTTCCATTCCAACCCTGTTCCAAGCCTGTTCCAGTCCCATTCCAACCCTGTTCCAAGCCTGTTCCAGTCCCATTCCAACCCTGTTCCAAGCCTGTTCCNTGTTCCAGTCCCATTCCAACCCTGTTCCAAGCCTGTTCCAGTCCCATTCCAACCCTGTTCCAAGCCTGTTCCAGTCCCATTCCAACCCTGTTCCAGTTGCAGACCTTTCGAGTCATGTCCCAACCCTGTACCCGTTAAAATCCTCTTCCAGTCCTCTTGCAATCCTTTTCCAGTCCCATTCCAACCCTCTTCCAACCCTGCCGCAATTATTTTCCACGCCCATTCCAACCCTCTTACAACCCTGCTCCAGCTGCAAACCTGTTTGAGTCCCGTTCCAACCCTGTTCGCATTCAAATCCTGTTCCAGTCCTGCTGCGATTCTGTTCCAGTCCTGCTCCAATCCTGTTCCACCCCTGCTGCACTTCTGTTCCAGTCCCAATCCAAGCCTGTTCCAACCGTGTTCCAGTTGCAAACTTGTTCCAGCCCTTATCAAACCCTGTTTCTGTTCCCAAGCCTGCTCCAATCCTTCTGCAATTCCGTTTCAGTCCCATTCCAACCCTGTTCCAACGCTGTTCCAGTTCCAACCCTGTTTAGTCCTCCAATTCCGATCCATCCCACTCAAACCCTTTTGCGATCGCAACCCCGTCCCCCCCAAGCGTCTTCTAGCCCATTTCCATACCGTCTTCCATTATCGTTCCGATACCTGTTCCAGCCCCGTTGCAGTCCCATTCATGTTTCTCTCCAATCCCATCACTCCTACATGTAGTACTAACTGTACGATGCTCGAAATGTTGCAGCTAAAGCAACAGCAACAGAGAAACTCACGCAAGTGACTTTTCAGCATGTTCATTCCCTTCGCAATAGCAAGCTAGCAGCAACTAAAGCGAATGGCTTAAACCAGATGTGTCTTACACGTGGCAGCCGAGCCACACTTGCAGCACGTGCCCAAAGCATGACCCAAAGTTACTTCCGCATCACAGTTCCTACGAGATCGTCAGCGCACAACTAAGAGGAGCTCGCCATTTGCAGCTAAGCGCTCGACAAAACATCGAAGGCAAAAGCGTCAACAGACCGAGGCGCTCACCACTTGTGGTGAAGCCCTGGGAATAACAGCAAAGGCAACACCATCCACAACCTGAAGGAGAACGCCAAGTTCATACCGTTTTCGGCATATTGCAGTTCACCCCCCGAGACCCCAAGTCTAGGTCGCTAGCATTTAGAATCTGATGTGTCCTTTGGCAATTGGGTTTTGCTGTCAAGATAAGGCTCTGACGAGAACAACGCAGTTTTACTTTCTGGCTCTGACGAGAACAATGCAGTTTTACTTTCTGCGGTCGTCCCATGTGTACACCAGCGGCTACCAGACTACTGCACAGCCCTCTCGTATACTCGCACAGTCCGAGGAAGCTGTCAGAGGCTCAGCAACCCCCTTACATACCGGTGCGATCCAAGGACATGTCAGAAGTGGTGGAGGTGGTGTCTAGATCTCCTATTCAATCATTTTCTGAATATCTCCCCTTCAAGTGATATGGTGCAAGCCTCACTGCAAGTACACACGTCCAAAACCTCCCCCAAAAGTCCATCCTCTCTCTCTCTCTCTCTCTCTCTCTCTCTCTCTCTCTCTCTCTCTCTCTCTCTCTCTCTCTCTCTCTCTC